TTTATTAATTAAAAGATTTTATTCAACTTGCAATGTATGGTAAGATTGGTAAGTATGTTTGTTCGGGTGGAATTTTTGAACTCAATTTTGAAGTAGATATCTTCAACCGATTGACCTGAAATTTTCTATACACGTTTAGTTTGGATGACAATGCACGATATGGTGTGTGACTTTATTCATTCTAAATCCAATATGGCAGACCATTTAAGAAGGCGAAATAGTTATTTTTGATGCACTTCAATGATATGGGTGTGAGAGCAACTCGAAAAATTATGTAACGTCATTCTAAATCCAATATGGCGGACCATCCAAGATGGCGGTATAGTTATTTTCAATGCTCTTCTACAATATGGGTATCAAATTAAAGGGCTTTCTTAAGAGTAACTCGAAAAATAATGTGACGTCATTCTAAATCCAATAAGGCGGACCATCCAAGATGGCGGAAAAGTTATTTTTATGCACTTCTACAATATGGGTATCACATGAAAGGGCTTGTTGAGAAAAAACTCGAAAAATAATGTGACGTCATTCTGAATCCAATATGGCGGAACATCCAAGATGGTGTAACAGTTATTTTTAATATACTTCTAAAATATGGGTATCAAATGAAAGAGCTCGGTGAGAGCAACTCGAAATATTATGGCACGTCATTCTAAATCTAATATGGCGGACCATCTAAGATGGCGGAATAGTTATTAATTATGCACTTCTACAATATGGGTATCACATGAAAGGGCTTGTTGAGAGTAACTCGAAAAATAGTGTGACGTCATTCCTCGCGTCATTCTGAATCCAATATGGCGGACCTTTCAAGATGCCGGAACAGTTATTTTTAATATACTCCTAAAATATGGGTATCAAATGAAAGAGCTCTGTGAGAGCAACTCGAAAAATTATATGACGTCATTCTAAACCTAATATGGCGGACCATCTAAGATGGCGGAATAGTTATTAATTATGCACTTCTGCAATATGGATATCAAATAAAAGGGCTTGCCGAGAATAATAAGAAATAATGTGACATCGCTCTGTATCCAATATGGCGCACTATTGAAGTTTTTTGTGCTCACTAAGAAATGAAATGGTTCACTGAGAACAAAAATGTAGGGTTTGAAAAATCGATTTTGAAGCCTGTAACATCGATTGATTAAGGCCCTTCGCACACGGGTCGATCGGCGACATGGACGACGCGATTCGAATCGTACGACGGTCTCTCCTCTACTCGACTTCCTAAGCAAAGCATCTGGATCCCGCACACGGGTCGTTTAGTGGTCGTCTAGAAACGTACGATTTAAGATCTCCTCGTTTTCAGTCTCACGCGATTAGCAAGGAAGCAGTTTGATCGAGTGAATCTTGTGTCTCAATGGAGAAAGTTATTCAATAATTTTTCAATCATTGTGAATATTTGTGTTACCTACCTTATTTCTTTACTTTCAGTAACTAGAACATAATATAATATATAATCTTATGTTTCCAATTTATACTCTCAACTTTAGGAACTGTTCGATTTTTTGAAATATATGAATATTGCATCAATGTTATTAGTATGTGTTCTTCTGCGCTGACACATTTCCTCATATTTGAATCCATATAATTTATGGCTGGAGCAAGAGTTTCCACTAAATCAATATATGATTCCTTCGACATTCTATGAAATGCCAGAAATTTTGTGTCACTCTCTTGCATTTCACTTGCAGTAACAAGAAGTCGAGTGAGAAAATTTCGTGCAATGTACGGATGCACCCATAAACTTCGTTGTCTTCTTCTTCTCCTGATCTGCCGGTGCCACAAAAACATGAATATGTCCTCCTCGCCATTGGAACTGCTCATTTTTAGCGAAAAATTTCTTTTTGAAGTAGCAAAAAATAGAGTAACTAAGTTGATCAGACGCGAGTCGACTACACAAAACGTCGACCCATATGCGGATGACACACACTCCCGTCTCTTGAATCGTACGAATGCAGAAATTGTGACGTCATTGCAATCGCGTCGCCCATGTCGCCGATCGACCCGTGTGCGGAGGGCCTAACTTTCACTTGTGTAATCTGGCGAGATGGGCATTATCAGCATTGGTCAGCAACATGTCTTGGAGAAGGACAATTCCAAAAAGTGTGTTTCGTCAGGCACAAAGCCAGCCATAACTAAGTAAAAAATAAATTGAAAGTAGAAAAACACTTGAAACAAGCTTTTATTTAAGTGCTCTCGAAAGAAGAAAATATTTCTTTTCTTTTAACGTATAATTTCATAAAACACTATTTATATGATCATAAAAGCTTGTCGCGATGTTCAATATTCAATTAAATTGAAACTTTGAAGATTTTATTATTTTACATAATTAAAATGGTACTAGTTTTTTTTTACACAAGTAAATCGTCAAGTACCCCATCGATGGTACTTTAGTATGACGGTAGAATATTATTATGGTACCATCAGTTTGAAAAAAATTGGGTTAAATATTTATGTTAATTTTTTGGCTCGTATTTCGAATCTCAATATTATTATGATTAAAAATGCGATAGTGTTGTAGCATTAATTCGATTGAAAATGAAAATAACTTGAAAACTGAACTTTTCTTGGAATTTTGCCTTATACTCCAATAACACCCGATATATTTTTCCATCTGTGGACATCATAATGATTATTCCTTGAAAAACTTGATCACTTTAGTTAATTGGATAATTCATGTAAAATCTGTTGCAATAATACTTGAAGGATACTGGTTAATCGGAACTTCATTAGTTTTGTTATATCATCCGATTCTGGTGGTGTTATCAATAGTCATTATTCGATAAAATGCATTATGCACTTATGCAGGTTTGTTTGTATTATGATAACCTATCGGAAAACTAAGTTTTGCACACTGATATCGTATAATGAACATTTTGTACCAAACTTCCTGTTATAGGTATAAGGACTATATATTCATTCATATATCATATCAAAAAAAAAAATCAAATTCTGAACAAAAGTCTCCGGGTTGAACGTGAAATGTCAATATTGATTCATATCATCGCACCCCATACTTTCTTGCAGCGAGGGATATCAAGGACCTTTGTAAATAATGTGTATACTTGTTCAGTGGGTTTATTTATGAAGTGTCAGTAGAACTGCGAAAGCGTCTACACCTTTTCCAATAGTAATTCAGAAAGCGTCATATGCAATTCAGACAATATCATTTGTAATTCAGATTAGTTAATTGGAATTGAGAAAATATCAAATGTAATTCAGAATTGTCAATTGATATTCAGAATGCGTCATTTATAATTCAGATTGATCAACTGAAATTCAGAAAGCGTCAGTTAGAATTCAGAAAGCGTCAATTGTAATTCAGAAAGCGTCATTTATAATTCAGAATGTATCATTTGTAATTCAGAATGGGTCAATTGTAATTCAGACTATGTCATTTGTAATTCAGAATAGTTGATTGAAATTCAGATAACATCATTTGTAATTCAGATTAGTCAATTGAATTTTCGAAAATATCAATTGTAATTCAGGTTAGTCAATTGAAATTCAGAAAATATCAATTGTAATTCAGAAAACTTAATTTGTAATTCAGAAATATGGAACAGTGTTACCTTTGCATGCATACCTACCTACAATCCATCATTATCACAAGTACCTACCTACTGTGTATATCCTATTGTCCTGGAAACGAATATAATAACTTCAAATAATTATACATCATCCCATAGAATGAACTTCAAAGACAACTGTATGATTTGTTGGAGGAGACTGTGCTCGAGCAGCACAGCATACCACGATTCACCATGCTGCTGCTTTGACTTCAGAAAATATACCCGTAGGTCGCTGAATGATGGATATTTTTTATTTTTACCTGCTATGTCTCAATTCAATCCCAATATTGTTCGTTTTCATACATTACTCGCTTATATGCAGTTATTGTATTATGAATGAGTTTGATAAAAACTTGTGTTGTTGTATCCCAATATAATTACTTATTAGATTTCGAAGTGAAAAACAACTGCTGTCTGAATTCCAATTGACTAATCTGAAGTACAATTGACGATATCTGAATTTCTATTGATGCTTTCTGAATTTCATTTGAGAAATCTGAATTACAATTGAAGTTTTCTGAATTTCACTTGACTAATCTGAATTTCAATTGTTTTTTTCTGAATTTCAAGTAACTTATCTGAATTACAAATTACGTAGCCTGAATTACAATTGACGCATTCTGAATTACAAATGACGATATCTGAATTTCAATTGATGCATTCTGAATTTCAATTGGAAAATCTGAATTACAACTGATATTTTCTAAATTTCAGTTGACTGATCTGAATTACAATTGATATTTTCTGAATTTCAATTGACTAATCCGAATCACAACTGACGTTTTCTGAATTCCATTTGAGAAATCTGAATTACAATTGACGCTTTCTGAAATTCATCTGGAAAAGGTGTAGAGGTCACAAAATTAGAATAAATTAGTGTTTTCCAATATATTGGAAAAAAATCCAATAGGTTGGAAAAATTCCAATATGTTGGGAAAAAATTCAATATCTTGGACAAAAAATTTAATATGTTGAAGAAAAAAAAACAATATATTGGAAAAAATCCAATATATTGGAAAATAAATCTAAAATATTGGAAAAAAGGGGGAATATATTGGGAAGAAATCGAATATATTGGTAAAAATTCACAAAATTTCAGTTTTTCTTGAATTACTCAGAAATGACTGAAGCTAGTCTAGATTTCTCGACGGATTCTGAATCACGATTGAATTTGCTGAAACTTTCGTAATTTAACCGACTCTCTATCTCTCACAGTTACCGAGATCCCAAGAGGGTCGAATTTGGGACACAATATAAGCGTGTTTAAAAATAAAAATAAAATAGCGAATATTCAGTTTTTTTCCAAAAATCATTGGAAATATTCGGTTTTTTCAAAATTTCGGCATTTTGTTATATTGGCATAAAATTGGAACTCTTACGGCTTAAGAGATCCTAATGGTAAGGCTCGACTTCCAGCCAAACTGTACAGTGTATTAATCAATTATTTCAACATTGTTGTTATTGTTTCCAGGCATCCTGCCTGATATCCAGAAGGAGTACCACATCAACAACGACAAGGCCGGCTTGTTGCAGACCGCATTCGTGCTGAGCTACATGATCTTCGCCCCCCTTTTCGGGTATTTGGGCGACAGGTACAGCCGCAGATGGATCATGGCAGCAGGAGTCTTTCTGTGGAGTCTCACGACCCTATGCGGCTCCTTCATGAATGTGAGTACAGTATTGGATCTTTATTCAATTTAACTTAGATCAGGAAGGAGATCCTCTTATAATCATATCTAAATCATGAAAAAAACATGATATTTGCCCTCTTTTTCGAAAATTTGGGCAACAGATACAGCTGCTAATGGATCATGGCAGCAGGAGTCTTTCTATGGAGTCTCACGACCCTATGCGGCTCCTTCATGAATGTGAGTACAGTATTGGATCTTTATTTAATTTAACTTAGATCAGGAAGGAGATCCTCTTATAATCATATCTAAATCATGAAAAAAACATGATATTTGCCCTCTTTTTCGAAAATTTGGGCAACAGATACAGCTGCAGATGGATCATGGCAGCAGGAGTCTTCCTGTGGAGTCTCACGACCCTATGCGGCTCCTTCATGAATGTGAGTACAGTATTGGATCTTTATTTAATTCAACTTAGATCAGGAAGGAGTTCCTCTTATAAGCATATCTATATCATGAGAAAAAAAAACATGATATTTGTCCTCATTTTCGAAAAATTGGGCAACAGATACAGCTGCAAATGGATCATGGCAGCAGGAGTCTTTCTGTGGAGTCTCACGACCCTATGCGGGTCCTTCATGAATGTGAGTACAGTATTGGGTTTTTCTTTCATTTAACTCAGACCAGGGAAGATCCCTTTCATCCTCATGTCTATATTATGCTATATTGAAAAGGAATATTCTCAGATATATTTATGAACACAAACAAATGGGTATTGGGTCTTTCTTTTATTTAACTCAGACCAGGGAAGATCCCTTTCATCCTCATATCTATATTGAAAAGGAATATTCACAGATATATTTATGAACACAAAAAATGGATATATGTATAAAGAAATACATTGAGAATTCGCATTCTCCATGTGATGAAAATATTAATTCTTTCTCGGTTTATTCAACAGAAAACAACTACTTTCCTGGGTTTATGCCACGACGAATATTGAATAACATCTATTGAACGCACACGATAAGAATTTGAAACAAAATCTTCTGAAGTAGAGAATTAGCATTCTCCTTCATATAAAGATATGCACATAATATCAATATCATTCTGAATATTCAAGAGAAAACATCTACTTTCCTGGCTAAATATACCTGACTTCTCGGCCTAATGATGTTTTTGATTTTATAAAATCTCTTTTTCGAAGATTTTAATGTGACTATTGTACTGCACAGTCTGATGATGACCGTTGTGCCTAAAAAGGTCACAGTTTTTTAATCTTATTTTTATATAAAGTATGGTCGACCGACTTTAAAATTTGTGTTTCTCTTCAAAATACATTGAACCACTTAGAGTATGGATGATTTCTACGAATTACTTACCAATATGTTCAGCATTGAAATGAAAATTGAAATGTATTGTTCTAAAAAAAAATTGTTCTATCCGTCATTCGGTTGCTCCCTTACGAGCAACCCTCAGAAGTCTTCGAAAGTCTTGTGCGAGCAAGGAATGACGGGGACCTTACCTTTTAACGTGTGATCCCAAACACTTTCTTGGGCCATCAGAAAAATGTCTGCAGTCCATGGGAATCGAAACCACGACCGGCAAGCGAATGCGAATTAGAATATAGACACTCTGTCCGCACGGCTACCTGGCCTGAACTCTGATCTTGATGAGCTTGGAATTTCCAAAAAATCATTCGTATCAGTGATATGGGAATTATATTTCTCACAAACATCAACGATCATTAGATCAATTTCAGGAGTATCATCTACATTCTCATGTCGTAGCCTTTTCAAAAAACTTGAAATTTTACCACTGGTTGGACTTTTCATTCTGGAACTCGTAGTTTATGTTCATAAGAATAGAAATTCTTTTACAAGAAATCGATCCTAACACGAACATAATACGAGAACAAGAAATGATTTTCATATCCCTAACACACACCTCACACTTTGTATGAAGTCATATAAAATTCTGGGACTGAGATTATATAACGTTCTTCCCGATGCCTTGAAGAATATCAACTCAGTTCAATGCTTCAAGAAAATGTTATGTAAGTTACTTTTAGAAATTAGCCCATACACAATAGCTGAATTTTATGAATATCTTAAATGAATTCAGAAGTGTGTTAGCACTTCCTTTTTTTTAAATAGTCTTGTGTAGTGAGAGAGAGAGAGAGAGAGAATATACTTTATTGTCATGAAGAAAAGGTACATTCTTATGGACAAAGCACATATGTAGAGTTAAAAGTGTAAATAAAAAACTAAAAATATAAAACAGACATTAAAAAGACTCTTACATTAGCAAAGGGTACATATAATTAGAATTGATCAGAATAAAATTCCTCCAAACTATAGTAAGGCCGATCTGATAATAGCAAATGGACAGCTTTTTTAAAATGGTCAATGTGGGTGATATCTCTTATATAGTCGGGCAAATGATTGAACATCTTGCATCCATTATAAATGAGTGAATCCTTTACTAGAGAAGAACTTGGTATTGGTAAGTTTATACTGTTATGCTTACGGGTAGAGTAATAGGAAGGAGTAGTATTAAATTTATGGATGTGTTTTTTGATGAGATATACTGATTCAAGGATGAAGATTGCAATAACAGTTAGTAATTTATGCGATACAAACAGCGGTTTACAGGAAACACGCATTTTAACTTTGGACATATATCTAATCGAGCGTTTTTGCAGTACCAGTATACTTAGCATGAGGTTATTATTACATACTCCCCAGAAAGGAATACCGTATCTCAGGTGAGACTCTATCAATGCATGGTAGACTAATTTTGCAGCTGAGGGTCCAAGTTCCTTTGTTACTGTTCTCACAGCGAAACAACCAGAGGCCAATTTCTTATTCAAGTTCAAAACATGTTGTTCAAATTTCAATTTATTATCGATAAAAACCCCTAAAAATTTAGTCTTATTGCAGCTTTCAATGAGGCCATTATCTAGTTCAATATTGATTATTTCACACCTGAAGGATATTATGTTGGTTTTTGTTACATTTAGAGCAAGACGATTTGAGTCACACCAACTTTTTAATACTTTAATGTCTACTTGGATTTTTTCTTCTAGTGCATCTGCATTATTTTCATGCCATAGAATAGTAGTGTCATCCGCAAACACAGTAAATTTTCCGGAGATGTCAATATTAAGCAGATCGTTGATATATAATAAGAATAAAGTGGGGCCCAGTATCGATCCTTGAGGTACACCACAATTCACCGATGCTATATTTGAAAAAGATGAAGTTTTCACAATTTGATGACGATCAGTTAGGTAAGACTCAATCCATTTGTATGCTACACCTCTGAAGCCGTAGTGATGGAGCTTTGCCAGCAGTATTTGGTGATCCACGCAGTCAAAGGCTTTAGAAAAGTCGCAAAATACTGCTGCTGCTGCCTCCCCACTATTGATTTTCAAGTATACTTCTTGGAGAAAAGAGAAAATAGCGTCACTGGTATTTTTATTTTCTTGGAACCCATACTGCTTTACAGAGATTATGTTTTTTTTTTTCAAGAAATTTGTTATTCTAATTTTTACTATTTTCTCTATTATTTTTGCGAGAGAGGGTATAAGAGAAATTGGACGGAAGTTTGCTGGCTCGTGTACATCACCACCTTTATGAATAGGAATAACAAGAGAAGTTTTAAGGAATTCCGGAAATATACCTTTCTGAAATGAGTCATTTATCAGAGTGGTCAGTACATCCAGGGCCTCGTCCGGCAAGTTTTCAAGAATTCTAATTGAGATTTCATCGATCCCATGTGTTTTTTTATTTTTGATTGCTTTAATGACTTGCTTCAATTCTGTAATATTTGTATCGTAAAAAAAAATAGATTGACAAATAGGATTACTACTGAAGAATTCCATTGGAAGATTATTACTTGCTAAGTCTTGGGTTAATTTCCCAGCGACAGTGCAATAATAATTGTTCAGCTCATCAGCCTTTAGAGACATTTCTGCTTTATTTTTGCCGCTTTTACCTGTTAAGTCGTTTATAATATTCCAGCTAGCTTTTGATTTGTTATCAGAATCGGTGATTATTTCTTTGTAATAATTTTCTTTTGCAATTTTTATCAAGTTTCTATAAATTTTACGATAGTTACTAAAATATATGTGAATGAAATTCGCATTTGTATATTTTCTAAGGTAATGAAGGCATCTCAGATTTTTGGATGATGTTTTTATACCTGATGTCAGCCATGGCTTCTTCTTTCGCTTGGTCTTGATTTTTCGTATCGGGAAAGACTCATTAAAAAGGGATACAAGGTATTCATAGAAATTTTCAAATGGTTTTTCTGTATCTACAATAGATTTCCACTCAGTATTTGTAGATGCTTCCTTGAACTTATTGAAGTTAGATTTGCTGTAAAGTAAAGTGTATATGTGATGAATTTGTGTACCTGGTGTTAACTGTATTATTTGTTATATTTAATTTTAATTAGTTTTAGCCTTCGACCTGTCCAATAGCCATGTTATTGAGCTCATTTAATGGATTAAATTTTCTATCTATCTATCTATCTATCTATCTATTAGACGTTGGGGAGATGATTTTGTGTTTTTTAACCCTCTCATCACTTCACTCTACTTAGAGAAAAGTATGGACTTCTACATAAGATTAATTAGTAGATTTTCTGCCGCGGCTGATAGGGCATTGCCGAGCGTAGCGAGGCTAGGAATTCAGCCAAGACAATTAACATTTGCTGCCGTGTGAAACATATACTTGCGGAATACTTTCACAGTTTTTTTCCTACTTCGAAACTTATCTGTTTTAAAAAAATCATAATCAATATTCGACGAAATGTTTTTATTAAAATTTTCAGTGGAATAATTTGATTATATTTTTCAGAATTTTTGGTGGTTCATGCTTTTCCGTGCTATGGTGGGTGTTGGCGAAGCTAGTTATTCCACGATCGCCCCGACTATCATCAGCGATTATTTCATCGGGGACGTTCGCTCCAAGATGTTGGCATTGTTCTATTTCGCCATCCCAGTTGGCAGGTAAGAAGAAAACCTAGGGGGCCCCTACAGGGTGTTACAAAAGGTATTCCCAGTAAACCTTTGTGCAACTGGTGATTGATTTCGGTGTTATAAAGACATTTTTCTGCAACCGACACAAAACTCGTCCATTTTAATACCAAAATTAGCTCTTGAATTGACATTTCTATTACTAACGCAATCATAGGTATGTTGCTAGGCAACACTTTTAAGGAGCTAAAGTTGAACTTTAGCTCCTAGAAACTAAAAGTGTGTACTAGGTCATTAAGAATAAACAACATTGTTATGGTTGGTTATTTGGGTGAGGACGCATACCTGATTTGTTCCCGATTTCGGCAGATTTGGCATATTATACCCATGCTGGAGATATAAATACACCTCATTATAGTTAAGTGTTTTTGTTTTGATCAGGAAGGCCTTCAAGATTCACATACTTGCTGGATCTGTATTTCATTCGTTATTCTCGTGATGGATAACTTTTTTTTGAATAATCACGGCCAGCAATAGTTTTTTTGTCTCAAACAACGATATTGTTTACCTTCATTTGATTATCAAGCCAAACACAGTGGAGTATGGATAGAAATTAATAATCGCTATTATTATTGTTGATATGCTCACTAACCTAACATTTTCCACGTCTTCCTATACCTGGCATTAGCGCGTTATTTGTCATTAGAGCACCTGGTCCATACGCAGATATGTCACTCTGTGTTTGTATTTATATTCCTTTCGATATTGCTTACCTAGGTATTATCGCACGGTACGCGGTTTTGTAAATTCTACAGGAACTGAAGTCTATGAACTCTGCTGACCTGATCGAAACTACACTCTACTGGATGTTTCAATTTTGAATAGTTAATTTATAATTGAAGGTCTCGAAATGAACGCTATGCCATAGGCATTTGTTCTTCTTGACCAGAGATTATACATTTCCCTAATCTCTGTCTTGACACTATAAAGGCGTACATTTCCGTCCAAGAAAATTGTGACTGTACCGAGTCACGTTCAATCATGTAGTCATGCTAATTTTATGAGCAGCTTTCAGGAAATCACAGAAATTATTGATATAGGTATGTATAATAATGTTAAGAAAGGAAGAGTTCCGAATTCACTTACCTTTAGAATCGTATTGAATGGTCTAAAAATGCCTCCATACCGATACTATATAGGTACTCTACGTGAAATGATCTATTGTTCTCGTCGAATAACAAACGTATAGGTGTTAGCTATTGTTTTCATGATGAGTACCGACTAATAATCAACATTTTACAACCTTTCTCAGAATCTCGGAAATAATATTTCATAACTGATCACTAACGGATATTCACCGATTACACAGGCTAGTTCACAATGTTCATCGACCGTAGACATCAATCATTTCATTTTATAACCAAGTTACACATGCTTTTAATTTTTTCCGTGGACGAATGGCTTTCGCCTCGGTGATTCTCAAAGAGAAAAATCCCATAAAGTCGCACATTAAAACGCCCAAGTTAACATGCACTATAGCCCGACTATTTGTAAATACGCGCCATGCGTTTGAACTCTCACCTTTTTCGTTTTATCGCCTATACTCTTTTCTATACAAATGTGTACAATAACAGGTGATTCTTTTTTATTACATACCCTTCTGTAAGCCACAAAGTATCGAAAGGTTTATCCTTATCAGACGCATTCTGCTCGGTCTCAAATCGGTCCTGATGCAATTCCACTCATTGTTCTCAAAAATTGACATCGATTCTCTGCAAGGTATTCACCATCTTGTATTTTTCCATCTTGCTGGAATATAGCTTGAGTTATACCAATCCCCAAGAAAGGACCAATTAACCTGTCATCAGTCATCTCCAAAGTGATGGAGAACGCCATTAACATTGAGCTCATCAAATATTAGGAAAGCTCGGGAAAAAACCGATTGATTTGAATGCTCAAACAGAAATTTGCTGAATGCTGAATCAAATATTCTCGTGAGACAGGCTGTCGAAGGCGCCGATGCTATGATTGTCAACACGGCGATTTCCATGACTCCAGAGTATGCTAATGAATTGTCGGCGATGACATAGATTTGCTCATACTCCTAACAGGATTGGGACCAGTTTTTAATAACGTTTACCTGATAAAAACCATGAAGAGAAAAATTGGGAGAAGAACTATTATATTCGGCACACTCATTTAACTATCCCGAAGTGACAGAAAACATTATCTTTCTGCACGTGATGAGTGGCTGTGATACAACAAGTGCCAATTTCAACCAGGGTAAAGCTAAATTCTGCACTATCTTTCAGCAGCACCTCCTACTAAATGATCTCCTAAAGCTGTTCAAAAATGGAGACAAAACCACAGATTGTAGTTGGTGCTGGTGAACAATTTCTAGTAGTAGTTATATGGTGGCGACATCGAAAAGTACACATTAGATGAGTTGAGGTGTCAACGATTCGCGAAGTCGATAACAAAAAGTAAGTTCAATCTTGCCTCTTTGCAACCGACTAGAGACGCAGCCCGATATGACAGTTTCAGAACATTCTATCAAGTACAAGCATAGTATGGAAACGAAAGAAGCCCTGGGAACTTCGGTTGGTAGCGTGAAAACAAATAGTTGTTGCCTATTAAGACCAAGAAGGATTCAGCTTCCCAAGCTCTCCCCAATTCTTTATCATGTAAATGTAAACAGGGATGCGGAGCTGCTTGTAGTTGTAGGAAAGCTGGCCTCAAATGCTCTGTTATCTGTGGATTCTGCAACGGACAGGCATGTGACAACGCTCCGGAGGTCTGTCGGTTCGAAAATGAGGACGATGATTATGAAGAGAAAGACAGTCTCTCAATTATCGCATAGATCCAAGAAGATAATATGTTTGACGAAGTCAGCATCAAGATGACGTAAAATGGGTAACCAACCCTTATAGATCATGCACAGAAGAATTGCCCTGTGCCAATACTATTCATTTATTTCTTGCACAAATAAATTCGTAGTGTGATGCCGCGAGGTCTTTTCATTTCAATGAAAGCTTTCTATACTCATAATATGATATCCATGTTCAGATTTGGTTAAGGTAGGCATCGCATAACAATGAGAGATCAAGACGATTGTCATACCAAGCCAGGCAGTTCCACATCCTTGAATTTTACTGGTAACGGGAACTAATAACTGCGAGATTTGGAATTTTTCAACGGATCCCATCATTTCGAAGCATTGCAGCTCTCTTACTATAAGGTGCTATAGGTCGTTCAGAAAAATGTCTGAGATGAAACTTGTAGGGAATTTAGTCTTCAATAAAATTTATAATAGGTATTTTGATTCTAAGATCCACCAGTGAGGAGATAATGCAAAAATAAACGATTTTCGTCGCCATTTTCGGCTCGCGCGGGTAAGCACCGAGGTCGCAAATCTGTGATTTTCATTATAACCCTATAATTCCCCCTGGCTACTGGACTATTTATGTTATAGACAATATGGGTCTCGCCTCCGAAGATCAATTAGAGATTCACTTGCCTACTTTACCCATATATGGAACGAAAGTTGGTGTTCGGTGCTGTGGATATATCGAAAGCATTCAACTGTGTTTGGCACCAAGAACTCACTCCTCCACAAACTACCACCCCAGCTATGCCATCTTTCATCTATTTTTTTTTTCAGGCAGATCTCTCTATGTGGGGGTGGACGGATTATCGTCTGATACAATTGCCATCGATTCCGGTGTTCCGCAAAGATCAATTTTGGCACCAACATTGTTCCTACTTGCAAACACTTGCCCTATCCACAGCTTTGCAAACGATAGTACTCTCCATAATGCGTTCTCTTCTAGAATTCCCATTTCTTCCAAGGAAACTTAGAACTTATGACGAAGGCAGATCAACGCTGTCAATGATGATCTGGCTAAAATTACAGCCTAGGGAATAACAACCTAGTTGAATTCAATGTCAGCAAAACTCAAGCCTGTATTTTCTCTAGGAAGACGGAACTCAGTATGCCTGATATAACAATGTATGTTACCACCATTCCCACCATTTCCACCAAGACCACAATATCTATGCTCGTTATTTCCTTCAGCAATATTCTTTGATTGAAAAATCATGTCCCATTTATCGCGAAAGCTGCTTCACAAAAACTTAGATTTGTATTCCGTTTGATAATCTATTTTACACCTCAACAGCTTCTACATCTACAAAACACAGATGCTGCCAGTTTTAGAATACTCTTCTCACAACATCTAAACATACGCTGATGAGGTTAGATTTCATCCATCGAAGAGTTCTCCACCTGGTGGGTGATGCCACCATCACTAATATTTTGCAAAAGAAAAAGAAAAGAAGCAACACAAAGTCGGTCGACCACACTTTAAGGTCCAAAAGTTGAAAAAAAATCCAATACCGACTTCCTCTTCCTTCCCTATCCTCCGTAGGTACGCACGATCATGGGAATTTCCTTTCGTGTGCTCCAAGAGTTGAAAAAATACTCTATTTTATGATTTTTGAATTCTATAAGATACTTCATAGTCTCACATTTTGATCTATGGTGTTACAAACCGAGCGTTTTTCATACTCGATCATCTATCGATTTCTATTTCATAACGAGAAAAGGGTAATGAACGTATAGGAATATTGGAAAATGTAACTTTTCATATTTTTTCTTGATATTTTGCCATCTAAAACCACGTTTGCCTTCTCATACTCAATTAGCCACCAACCAGTGATCACGTGAAGTGTGTCTGAGAGAAACAATTCTTCAAAACCTACTATAATAATTGACCTTTTTCCCATATGTTACGGACTTTATGGATGTGTAAAATCTATATTCCTCTTGATAAAAGAAATAAAGTAACTCAACAGTTTCCCCTGACAAACCTGTTCATCATTCTTCTACGTCCACGAAATCAAACCACTCTTGGTAATGATTAAGTCAAATAGCTCAACTCGAAAACTTAAGTGATGGTTCAACCCCCTACGTGTGCGATCAAATTAAATAATAAAACGAAAATAAACATTTTCCATTGTGGTGGTATAGCCTCATAGTCGTTTTGCGTGGGCGTGAGACCAGGTATAGGTATTCATCATGCATGAACTCAGTGGCGTAGTTCACAAATTCAATGCTGGTAAACCAAATTTTTCAAGAATGAAACTTCATATGAACGTAACTTCATAATAATATGAACGTATGTCGTAGACGTTCTAATTTTTGAGATCCACCCTGTATAGCTTTTCTTGATGGCAAAATTAAGTCTGCTATGTGACTGAATCGGTATGCGAATTTCAAAACGTTACATACTGTAGTTATCCAGTAATGGAGTACTCAGACATCAAAATTCGAAAACGAAGCGTTCTATCGAGTATCAACAAGAGGATCTTTTTTGTACATAATTGAATAGCCTTTTATAGCATTGTATGGTATTTGGAATTTTTCTGTCGTAGCCCACTTTTAAGTAAAATATAAACAATCATTTTCCCGTATCGGTGCCACTGGTACAGAAAATGAGAATTTTTGCGCATCAGAAAATGCACCTTGATGTTTAAAAGACGTGTACCAAATTTCATGAAGATGTATACAATGTTGTCTCAGTTATTATCAAAAAACTGAATATTTTTCAAAAGTTCATCACCCTGTATCTCAACAGTCAAGACTTTTGTTCAAAATATTAGCATGTCTTCAAGGAGCACCCTGTATATACGACTCAATTTTTTTCTCGGTTCATTCATCAGTAAAAAAACTACATTCCTATCTACAGAGAATCTATGTACAGAGGTGTTTCAAATTGATAAAATCTTATTTGAGTAGACATTTGAATCGTTCATCATTACGGTTATCACTCATCTCTCAAGTTATTCGTATCAGTGATGTTGGGGATAAATCTCCTACAAACAGGATATTAGATAGATGGATAGATAGATAGATTTATTCATGTTACTACACAATAGTGTTTATACATACGTCAATAAATAAATAAAATGTAATAAATATAATCAGACATAGATACATACAACAATGAGACAATGACAAGATAGTTTGAAGTTCAGTATCGACGTGAAAAAAAATACTAGATATTCATCAAATGTGTAGAAACTTTCTTCAATTAATATTTTTGACTCGATGCTTGAATTCCTGTTAACTCATAGATCGACCTCTGAGTTCGTCTGGAAGAACATTGAAAAATTTCATGGCGAGATATTTGAATCAATATTTGGTTTTTCAAATTCTTGGTTTCGGTAATCTTATATTCATCTTTCCTCTTGTATTATATCTATGTATATCTTCATTTCTAGTTATTCCAGATCGAGTATCAGACATTTCTTTCTTCATGTGAATGAGACATTCCTATTCGAAGCATGAGGCTATTGTTGAAATTTTGAATCGTTTGAATAATGTTATAACTCAATCATTCCATTATCATTCGAACTTATTTTGTAAAATGAATTTTTTTTTAGAATGACTTGATGCGCCCCACACTATCAAGGCATATGCCATTACTGAATGAAATATTGAGATACAAGAAACGAGATATTCATCAGTCAGTTTACCCTTCAGCTGTCTCAATATATAGGTCGATGTTGCTAGACGCTTACATAATTGATCAATGTGTAGCAAAAAGTTCAGACCTGCATTTAGATGTACCCCAAGCAATTCAACCACGTTTCCGTCTGAACCATTGTTTAGCTTGAAATTCAGAACTTGAGTCTTTCCATTTTTGAGAGTAAGATAATTACTCTCATTCCAAATCTGAATCATTTTTTCAGTGTTGGACATTTCGTCATTGAGGGTTTTTTCATTTCGATCACAGTGAATTATAGAAACGTTATTGACATAGATAATGAAAAGTACAGGTCCTAAAACTGATCCCTGAGGTTACTTTATTCGAATGAACTCATTTCAGGTATCAAACCCTCATCAGTAACCTGAAGTCTTGTTATTCTTTCAATCATTCTCCATAAAATACAAGTGTTATTTAACGCCATGGGAACGACAGAAACAATATTTCGCCTACTTGCTGTTGAGAAAATAAGTTATTCATAGAAGTTACTTTTCTATGGTTAAATGTAAAAACAGAAAGTATACAAACTCTGTGGATCTTCTCCCAAGGTGTATATCGGTCAGACAGGTCGTACGTTCAATCAGCGCATTCAGGAACATAAGATGATTTTTTTTCATGAAGAAAACAACCATATATTCGAAGAAAACCATAGTATTCAATTCACGATAATTTCGAAATTCTACACGTAGAAAATGAAGGAATGAAACTCAATCATTTTGAATCATTAGAAATCAACTAACTCAAAAATTTTGACATTTTACTTAACGATCAATTAGACCAAAAAAAGTTCACCACTGTTGAATTTGTTTTCTTAGTAGGTAATAATATGAACCCTTTCAAGTTAAGCCGGTACACCATATTTTGATGTAGATATTGTGCCTATTTTCCGAAAATGAAGGTTTATCGAACCTGTCCATAGATAACTGATTCTTCAAGTTTGGAAAGTAGGATATGTAAAAGTTAAGCAAGCCAAGGTTGGTTCTGTTCATTGTACCAGTATATCACCTGGTGGAGCTACTGTGTTAGCGAAACATGTGTGTTTAAGAATTTTGTAGAAATCTTGTCGTTTGTGAAGTTTTTACATTTGCCATAGATTTTCATCAGGTAACGGCCGAGTCAATTCAACAAAATTTCAATGATTGATGCTTTTTCAGAATTTTTGTTCAAAAGATTAACCTCCGTAGGTCGTGGGTTCGATTTCCAGCACGGGCAAGGAACTTTTTTCATTATGTTATTTACGAATTAAATATTGTAAAATTTCGGAGCATCGGCTGGGGATAGTCCTGCACGATTCGCTGTTGCGTTCCAATTAACAGTGCTGTTTCTAAAGTGGCGCATGGAGTTAGTAACAAAGCCTACACAGAACACGCAGAAAGATATGATGATGTGGTTGTGAGCATCAGAGAAGAAGTAGGACGGTGTATGTAGGTGGGTGTGGAAAACTACCAGCTGAGCGTGAGAGCGGGCCAGCTGCTTAAGTAGACCTCGGTCTCGGGGGTTAACGAGGATAGTTAGCAGGTCTGCCACTGCGCATATGGTAGTGAGTACATTACTAGCCTACAAAACACAGCTGAAAAACTCTGAAAAGAGAGCTGATGGGCGGTGCCTGAAAAGGATGTTAGCCAGCTCTCTTGAGCGAACCACATCAGTCATTGAAAACACTTGGGGTTTGCAAAAAGGTCCCATTGGGGACTAGTTGCTGACGTGGAAACGTCCCCCACCAGTACCAGTACCAGTACATCACTGTGTCGAGATAATAGTAACAAATCTCTCGACAGTAATGTAACACTTTCCACCTTGGTATGTAATATATTATTTTTGTCTCATTACTGCATTTTTTCAGCGGTATGGGCTACATCGTGGGCTCAGAGACGGCGAAAGCGGTGGGCCAATGGCAGTGGGCGTTGCGGGTGACGCCGGCCCTGGGCTTGGTGGCCGTGCTGCTCATCGTCTTCGTTCTGGAGGACCCGGAAAGGGGCCAGAGCGAATGTAGTGGACACATCGAGGCGACCCCTTGGCTGGAGGACGTCAAAGATGTCGTGCAAAAGTGAGTGTTTTCCCTCCTAGGTACGCACGATTTTTTCCGAAAATTATAGGGATTCCATTCGTGTGCTCCAAGAGATTGACAAATAAAGTGATGTACAAGGTTAGACCTCGGGCTTCGACAATGACCTAAGTAATGACTTGAGCTCTTCGTATGGGTCAATTTTGGGCACGTAAGTCATTTTGGACTTGGGAGGAGAGCTTGATGTAAAGTGAGTGTTTCTCTTTCCGGAGCAATATTGTATACGGGGAGTTTGCCTTTGTGTTTCGATAATGACCTAGGAAAGAACGTGAGGTTTTCCACTAGGTACATTTTTGGCAAGAAAGTCATGACTTGAGATCTTCCTATAGGTCAATTTTGGACAAGTAAGTCATTTTGGACTTGGGAGAAGAGCTTGATGTAAAGTGAGTGTTTCTCTTTCCGGAACACTGTTATATACAGCGAGTTAGCCTTTATGTTTCGATAATGACCTAGGTAAGAACGCGAGGATTTCGAATAGGTAAATTTTTTTCAAGAAAGTCATTTTGGACTTGGTAGGAGTGCTGGTTGAAAATTCCGATTTCCATTCGTTTCAAACGCCACTGATAGAATTGAGATCAATTCCGATCTATCAAATTGTCTATTTCTATATAACAACGAAAACTTCAACTATTCGATATACACTGTGTCCATAAAGTATCCTTCCATTGGTAGTTTGAGTGATTCATTTTAATTTGTATGAAAAATATGTATCTTTTAAAATGGCGCCTGGGGTCGGGTGGGTGATAATCCGAAACGTATTTCAATTCTTCATAGGATACCAGAATTTCAGACAGAAATATTCATCTAAAACACAATGGCACAACTCTCTATTGGCATCTAGAGCGAAAAACGTCTAAAGAATACCAGCCATCTTGGAGAAAATAATGATGAACATCGAAGCGACTCTTTGGCTGGAGGACGCCAAAGATGTCGTGCAAAAGTGACTGTTTTCCCTCCTAGGTACGCACGGTTTTTTCCGAAAATTATAAGGATTTGCATTCGTGTGCTCCAAGAGATTGACAAATATAGTGATATACATGTTGTTAGACCTCGGGCTTCGACAATGACCTAAGTAATGACTTGAGCTCTTCGTATAGGTCAATTTTTGGCAAGTAAGTCATTTTGGACTTGGGAGGAGAGCTTGATGTTTCTCTTTCCGGAGCAATATTGTATACGGGGAGTTTGCCTTTGTGTTTCGATAATGACCTAGGTAAGGACGTGAGGTTTTCCACTAGGTACATTTTTGGCAAGAAAGTCATGACTTGAGCTCTTCCTATAGGTCAATTTTGGGCAAGTAAGTCATTTTGGACTTGGGAGAAGAGCTTGATGTAAAGTGAGTGTTTCTCTTTCCGGAGCAATATTGTATACGGGGAGTTTGCCTTTGTGTTTCGATAATGACCTAGGTAAGAACGTGTGGTTTTTCTACTAGGTACATTTTTGGCAAGAAAGTCATAACTTGAGCTCTACCTATAGGTCAATTTTGGGCAAGTAAGTCATTTTGGACTTGGGAGGAGAGCTTGATGAAAAGTGAGTGTTTCTCTTTCCGGAACACTGTTATATACAGCGAGTTAGCCTTTATGTTTCGATCATGACCTAGGTAAGAACGCGAGGATTTTGAATAGGTAAATTTTTGGCAAGAAAGTCATTTTGGACTTGGTAGGAGTGCTGGATGAAAATTCCGATTTCCATTCGTTTCAAACGCCACTGAAAGAATTAAGATCAATTCCGATCTATCAAATTTTCTATTTCTATATAACAACGAAAACTTCAACTATTCGATATACACTGTGTCCATAAAGTATCCTTCCATTGATAGTTTGAGTGATACATTTCAATTCCTATGACAATATTTATCTCTCAAAATGGCGCCTGGGGTCGGGTGTGTGATAATGTGAATCGTCTTTCAATTCTCCATAGGATACCCGAATTTCAGACGAAAAAAATCATCTAAAACACAATGGCACAACTCTCTATTGGCATCTAGAGCGAAAAATGTCTAAAGAAAACCAGCCATCTTGGAGAAAACATTAATAAACATCGTTTTTGATTTTGAATAGATATTTTCTCAATTCCACACATGTGTGGGCAACACCTATACTTGAGTTCTGCACTCAGGGTTGAGAATTCGAAATAAAACATTCTTATACCTAGGTATTATTGTGTTTCAGTAGAATGAATACCTACCTATTGAATTTGATGAATGATGAGATGCGGCAATAAAGTAGAACTGCTGATGAGGATGGCACCTATTACCTCGTTCGTACTGATCATGTGATAATTATTTTGAGTAATAGTCACATATGGAGTTTTTTCTATCAATTTTCAGAGAGAAATTCTAATAATGTTTACAATAAGTAACAAGCATCATTTTTTCTTCTCCTTTCTCTTAGGGTCGAGACAAAAAAAAACGGTGTTTGATTTTCCCAGTAAGGTAAGAACAGGATAAACAAACAATATAAAAGATATATCCACTTGAAGTAGCAAAATCTGATTTTTTCATGTCATTTACCTGTCAAATATTGGTTTCTATCCATTCTGAACAACAAATGTTGAGATAATCAAGGATTCAAAATCCGAATATGAATAATTTCCGATTTAACTTTGGATTAACAACCGGCCTCAGGTGTTCAAATTATATGTATTTATCTACAACTCTCGAGTTAATGATCCATTGCTAACTCGATATTCACAGTTGATAACAGTCATTGCTCTGGCAAGTTCAGTAATAATAACTAACAGTACGACTGAATTATGTTGTGACATGCCATCATTTGTGAAATTTGATTGGTAGATATTTGTTTACTGAAACACGGCACAGTACTACAGAACTACTGCTTATGAAATATATGCACATCAAGCGACAAAAGGCCACTTCATAAAGAACTTTGAGACTTAAGGTTTATCACCTAACATTTAGAGCTTATCACTTATGGCAGATGGAACATGGAAATATCATTGGTTATGTTATAAAACCGAGTATAAAACCATTTAAGACTTCTGATTTTACATTTAATATTCAAGAAGATGGATGGCCAACTTCCAACTTAAGAAGTGCTAATAAATGATCATAAATGGAATGAAGAATGTGTATCCAAAAGTGACATCTCATTTTCCCGCCATTCAAAAATTATTCAAAATATCTTGGGTTGTTATTCGTGAATAGTTGTTTTTCTTGTGATAGAAAATATGGATATTGAACCGTTCTTTAAAAATTCACTAGAATGTCACCTCAACTCTTTTGCCTCCATATTTGGCAAAAGGTCCACTTACTGTTAGGCAAGGAATAGTGATTACTTCCAAAATAATGTGGAGATATCATAATGGATGTGGGTATCATTTTAAGCATATAAATTAATAGAATGATATCAGAACATGAAATTTTGATTGCCAAACAGTTTATAACTTACTAAACTTTGAAAATCTGTTTCTGTATCTGAAACAAGATGTCAGTAATGACAGAAGACATGCATATCCCTAGAATTCTAATTTTTTTATTACTGAATCCACTTTCGACTATAATGTTAAAATGTTGAATCTTGCTAAAAGTTTTTATGAAGTCACCCATACTTTCAATGGGGAAGACCACAGAGGGAATAAATCCGTGCAAACCTCTTTCAATCGACGAATCATGATTTACATTTTATGTACAATCAATATTATGAGTTGAAATTGAAGGGAATCGAATCTATATCGTTTTGAAATCAGCATATTTCATTCGATATTTCAAACAGCCAAATATGATAGTGGAGTCGTGACGTATTAGTCCCGAACTGTAGCTATCTCTCTCTGATACCTCGTCATTCTGCAGTGTTGCAGTGTAATTGGTCAGTTCAAGGACAATAGGCATGTTGGGACTAAGACGTCGCACCAGTCACACCAATGAATTGATGAAATTTCAAATGGCGCAGGAATTGTGTGTTTTGAAATGGACATATACTAATTTATTTTTTTCTTCGTCTTAGCATGAATGAAAAAATTCAAAATTAATTCACTGGTAGTTTTTCAGTATAAGGTTCACGATAATGTCGTTTTAAAAAATCAGTGGTCTTCCCCATTGCTTTCCTAGTTTTCTACACATACACAGAAAAATGCGAATTCATCATTTTCGACCCTGGCCGTTGGAATAGAATTGACAGTTTGCAGAACGCCAAGATTCGTTTTGCCCACACATAGGCGTGTATGTGTGATTCGAATAGAGTACAGTACAATCAAAATAATCAAATATGCATTGTTGGTTGCAAAGTAGTGACCTCGGTAGTGACTCTATCGATAATTATTATTCTGCAATTATTTGTTTTGACGTATATATGTTGATGTGAATTAATTATGTTTAATAAGTTATATAAGTAGATTAAAAAATTATAGAGGGTGATTCAAAATTCGATGTAAATATTTCAAGGACAAAATATTGTTGGAATCAAAATAAGACTGTTCCTTTATATAATAATATATAAACATGTAATAACATCTTGTATATATATTTTGTTTTGAGGTTTTTCCTTGACGACATAAAAAACTTTGAGATAATAAGTAATAAAATATTGTTATAAGAAGATCACCTTCTTTAATTTGTGATATTCATTACAAAATGGCGCAGTCGGAGCAAGAATTTATGCAGATAAATTATGGAAATAATTCTGGAAGTGCTGGAGATAATCATTCCAACAAGGATTACATAAGTATTGGAAAAGATGAATTGGATAAAATGATGTCAAAATGGTTGACGCTCATGTCAAGAAATAATCAAACTATGAAAATAGAATCATTTAGTGGAATCGATGATGAAGATATATATGCTTGGATCAAATCATTTGAATTCATGGCTCAATCTAACCAATGGATATCGGATGCTGAAAAGGTATTTAACCTGCGATTTCATTTGAATGGAGTGGCTTTGAGCTGGTATGAGAGCACATTGGAATGTGGACCTGATAACTTCAATTGGCATGAGTGGAAGCAAAATTTGATTGAAACTTTCGATCAAACCAAAATTTATAAATGGGAGAAAGCACTAAACTTCAGATACAGAAACGGTTCACTCCTAGAATATTTCTATAAGAAATTGAATTTGATCAATTGGGCTGATGAAACATTATCAGAAGAATCCATAGTGTCTATTATTATTTTGGGTTTGCCTGGTTTTGCTAAGAAGCAGTTGGAGAATAAAAAAATCAATAATAAAAAAGGACTTTTACAAGAACTCAAAACCATGAAGATCTATAGTGAAGAAAGGAACCAACCTAGTACAAGCAGACAAAATTATTACTGTATCAACGAACCTGAAAAAATAAAATGCATTGAAACGTATTTCAGTTATTCAAATTATTTAAATAACTATGAAGATAACGAAAATGTTATAGGAATTACAGTAAAAAATAAGCAGATGAGAGTTTTGTTAGACACTGGTTCAGATATTGACATCATTTGTGAGAACATAGTAAGAGAGCTTGAATTACCCATGTACGAGAAATATGTGCTCATAAGGAGTCTTGCTGGAACAACTAAATGCACGCAAATGTCAAAGATGCAATTGAATCTCAACGGAAAGATAAATATAATTTGGCCAATAGTTGTCAAGGATCTGAGTTTTGATTTGATTCTTGGACGAAAGACGTTGAAACAACATAACATTTTTCAAAAATATTCATTCAGTTCCGAAACTAACCAGTCTAAATTATCAGAATCATATATTGCAGATAAATTCCCAAAATTATTAGATCATTCTGACACCGAATCCTCAGAGTTTGTAGTACAATTTGAATTAAAACCAACACCTAGGATTGTGAAATTGAAACCATATAGATTTTCTCCTGAGAAGAACAAATGGATAAAGGAAAAAATAAAGGATATGTTGGAAAAAGGAGTGATAAGTAAATCATCATCAGTTTATGCTTCACCTTGTGTAATAAAAACAAAACCTGATGGCTCTTTTCGTTTGTGTATAGATTATAGAAAAATTAATGAAGAATCTGAACTGGATCCGTTTCCTTTTCCTATTATAAATGATATTATTGAGAAGTTTGGAGGCTGCAAATATTTCACGAAAATCGATTTGAAAGATGGTTTTTGGAATATAGGCATCTCTCAAGAAACGAGAAAATTCACTGCATTTGTAACAGAAGATGGTCATTATGAATTCAATCGATTACCATTTGGTTGGAAGAACTCTAGTGCCAAATTCCAAAGGATCATGCAAGAAGTTTTATATGAATTATTAGACGAAAAAGTTGTTGTATACATAGATGACATTATGTGTGGAGGTTTTACCCTTCAAGAGTGCGAGAGTTTAACGATAAAAATTTTAGAAAAATTGGAGAAATGTAATTTGAAAATCAACCAAAAAAAAATGTTTTTTTTGTGTTACAAAAATTGATTTTTTGGGAAGGGAGATTGATGGAGATACTAAGAAGATGAAGAATGAGATGGTTCAGAAGGTCAGGGATATGAAAAGACCCCATAACTTGAAATCTGTGCAATGTTTTACTGGACTAACAAATCACTTCAGGAGTTTTATCAAAGACTATGGAGCTATTGTGAAGCCTATCGAAGAACTTAAGTGTAAAAACAAGAAATTCGAGTGGACTGAAAACTGCGAATTGGCATTCAACAAGCTCATAAATCTCATAACATCCGAACCAATTCTGAGAATTCCAGATCCACGATTAAAATATGAATTATCTACTGATGCATCATATTATGGTTCTGGAGCAATTTTATATCAGAGAGATACATCTGACGTAAAATCCCGACAGTTGCGAGTCATCAGTTATTATTCATATACTTTCTCAAAATCAGAAATGAATTATAGTGTCACAGAAAAAGAATGTCTCGCTGTTGTGAAAGCAGTGAAACATTTTCGCACATATTCAGAAGGCAAGAAATTCACAGTACATACTGACCATAGAGCTTTAACTCAATTACTTAGTACGGGAAATTTGAGAGATAGACTGGCCCGATGGCAAATTTTCTTGAGGAGTTTCAATATGGAAGTAAATCACAAAAGAGGAAAAGAGCTGAAGGATGCTGATGCCATATCTAGACTCTGTATAGATGCACCAGAAGATTATCCAGAAACTTTTTGGTTGAATTTGAACATTCAAGAGTTAGAAAAACTTGAGGATGGAAGATATCTGGTGAAATCAAAGGACATGGTGAAAGAAATTCTCAGTTTGTACCACGATGATCCATATTCAGGAGGCCATGATGGGTACTATAAATGTTATTATAGGATTAAACAACGATTTTTCTGGAAAGGTATGACAAATGACATAAAGAACTACATAAAAACTTGTTCAATTTGTCAGTTGGTAAAATTCAAATACTTGCCCAAACCTGACTTTATTCACGAAACCTACTGTTCCCAGGAACCATTCGAAACACTACATATCGACTTCGCAGAATTAGGTAAAAAATCCGATTTGAACAAAACTACAAAATCATTCTTTCTAGTCATTGATGAGGCAACAAGATTCATTCAAGCTAAATCAATGAAGGAGAATACACGAGCTGTTGTTTCCTATTTGGAGAAATTACCATTTTTGGATAAAATTAAGTATATTGTATCTGATTGTGGAACAGCATTCACTTCACAAGCATTCAAAGAATGGGCTTCAGGTCGTGAAATAAAATTAAAACATACTTCTCCTTATCACCCTGGTGGCAATGGTATTGCCGAGAGAGCAGTAAGGAATTTGAAAACATTCATGAAATGCTATGAAAATTTCACAGGAGGATGGAAAAAATTATTAGACGCTGCAGTTCAACATCAAAATTCATCTCATTGTGAATACTTAGGATGTTCGCCACATTATAAATTATATGGAAATTCTAAATTACTACCAGCTGATAAAGAGTTAGGAATAGAACCACAGCTAAAAGAAGAAGCGAAATCATGTGAGGAGCAGAAAAATTATAAAGCAAGAGTACAGAGTCAAGCAAACAAGAATAGGAAGATGTTGCCGCCGAAACTGAGTGTAGGAGATTACATTCTCACGAGGAATCAGAAAATAGGGAAAGAATATAAGACGAAAGGGCCGTTGAAAGTAACCAAAGTGAAATATATGAATGGTATTTTAGCTTATGTACACTTTGAAAATGAGGGTAAAGAAGAAACGGCACATATTTCGAACATAAGGCAATTTCATCACAGGAGTGATGATATCTTGGGAAGGGGGATTCTGTAATAACATCTTGTATATATATTTTGTTTTGAGGTTTTTCCTTGACGACATAAAAAACTTTGAGATAATAAGTAATAAAATATTGTTATAAGAAGATCACCTTCTTTAATTTGTGATATTCATTACAAAACATATTTCTTAAAATGCAACCCCTCCAAGCTATTGCCACCGTAAGTTAGGTAAAAATAAAAATTATCTTCTGACTCATATAACGGATCAAATCTTCGAAAATAGACATGCCCCTGTTTTTTTAGACACTTCATTTCCTTCTTGCTTCAAAAATGATGTAAACCCAATGTTAGGAGAGTTGGTGGGGGATCCACACTTTTATTGGCCCAATTTTATGTTTATAATGAGAAACTCTGACTGTGAATAGTATGATCTTGTGGGTCATAAAAAACTGCATTTTGCATTTTTTCATACAACTAACAGTTTGCCAGAAAATCGTAATGAACGGAAGGCAAAGTCACAACATCATTTTTTTAACGAATTCCCAAAAGTTGCTTCGATTTATGAATATATGTAGATAAAAGATTGTATTCTACCCATTCATATAATCAGATTATGCGCTTGATGAGTAATAATGTACTATGTGGTACTATTATCACCTATTATTCCATTGTCAACCTATTATAGATAGGTACTAAGTTATTATGCCATATGATTCATAAAGATGTAGTCATGGTATTGCCATCTAGTGGCCTAAGGTCTAGGGTTGGATCAAAGACTGCACCATACACAGCAGGACCCTGTCATCTATAGCCAACACGTTACTATTTCAATAATTACTACCAAGAATCTCCGTCCTCTAGATCCTCGATAATCCCAACTTCAAACATTATTTCATTGCTTTTGTATTTTTTTCAGTCGAAGTTTCATGTTCTCCACTGCTGGATTCACATGTGTGGCCTTCGTAGCTGGAGCATTATCCTGGTGGGGACCATCCTTCATTGAGATGGGGATCAAGCTGCAGAATAGTGGCGACGTAGATTCTGACAGGTAGATACAACATTTTGGAAATAATTCCTGTCTGAAAACTAGAAATGGAGAGTGTCGCAAATAATTGTTTAAATAAGTATAAAGTTACCTATTGAGGGAATCCACGCATATTTTCGTGATTTTTCACGATCTGGTGGTGAAAACCAAAAGTGTGACAAATCACAAACTTTCCTATTGGTTTCGTGATTTAAAATTTTTTTCTCGTTCAATATTCGATCTACATTCCTGATTTCTGATTATCCAAAGATGATCAAGAACGTGTCGAAAATATGACCGAGATATTCGCCCACTTTTCTATAGATCAAAGTACCTAGTGACTGTTCTGATACCGGTAACCAGCCGGCAACATAAATCATCAAAATGGTCATTTAAAAAAAATGAATACATCAACAGCACCAGTTAGCGTCGCAACACGGTTACGTCCAGTTATTCACTTTTGTGTGTTTTTGGATGAAAATGAAATGACAATAATTTATTTTCTTGTAACATTTTTCATAACTGTGTACTTATATTATATTCATTAGAGAAAAAAACACACCTTCAACACTACTGAGTAGAAATATATGAGGAGGTTGAATGACAGACATGGACAAATTGATTTTTTATAGTTATTAAACCAACTAGTATTAATCAGAGCGATTAAGAGCATTCTTAACGTACGAGAGCATTGAACAAGTCTAAGATTATTATTCGCCATTTTCATGTACCAGTTGGTTACAAATTCTTTTCGTCGACTGTAGTTCTGATTGAAAAAAATCTGGTTAACAAACCCATCTCATGTCCAGAAACTACTTATCACCCAGTAGTAAAGAATGTCATCTTGTCACTGACATTATTATGATGATTATTGTCGAGATCAGGAAGAATAATTTCCGTTTTGTATTGAAAAAGTTATTAAAATCATTCGAAAGCCAACACGTTAACCTAGAGTCACTGGATGGTATTAGTGTGATAATAGTTCGGACACAACTGAACCTCTGTCCTTTTCTATTTCCTGTATTAGGGAGTGAATAAAAGAACAAGACATATATTATTTTCCACCTTCTGCTGCATTCACTTTCCACTGAAAAATTTTGTATCTGATTGGTTTTGAAAACGCCATTCAATGATATTGTGTCACGTTGCAATTTACTTCATTACCTCAGTTTCGTTCTCAAATTTTCAATTTCATTGAGTAGTTTTGAAATCAATTCCTCATTCTCTATGATAATTTTGTTTTACATTTCGGGTGATGATAATATTGGGATTTTTCTTCAATATTCTGTATTGTGAATCAATGGAGCAGCAGATACTTCCGAACAGATATCATAAATCTTCTGTTCGGAAATGGGCCTAAAATATAGTTTCATTCCAATCTGCTGTTATAATAAATGAATTTCAATGTATGTACTTACCTCACAAATTTTGCTTGTCTTCAAATTGATTTCCATTCAGACCGTTTTTACTTTTCTTCCTTATGAAAATGGTAGATATTTCCTTTGGAAAATTGAAGAAATGAAGTCGGCATTCCCGTCAGCATTTCCGCAATTAATTACACAGCACAGGATATTTTCATTTATGCTTTTTTCTCAGTAGTTTATGAAATTATGTTTAAATTCCAACAATTTTAAATGAAAAAGCACGGACCGACTATGATGCTCTTGTCACAATGCAAAGTATGTAACTTAATAAACCTAAACATTCAAAAACACTAACAGTTGTCAATTCTGTGTCCAAACTCTTATCTAACTAATACCATATAGTGACTCTACGTTAACCTAAACTCCTCATTGATATAAATATATATTTCGGATGTGAATGCTCACACCATAATCGATCATTAATAGAAAACATGGTGGTTAATCGAGATCATTTCATGTAATTGATACGAAGTCTGCAGAGACCCATAGGAACTAATTTCATAAGATGACGGTACATTGACAGCGCCAGTTTGTTGTTCTAGCGTCGCATACAAGTTCGGCATCGTCTCGATGCTGTCCGGGCTGGTGGGCGTGCCCTTGGGCAGCCTGGCGGCGCAGCGCTGGCGCAACAAGTGTCAGCGCATCGACGCCTACGTGTGCGCGGTGGGGCTGCTGGCCTCTGCGCCGCTGGTGTTCGTCGCTTGCGTGGCCGCCCGCTATAGCGTCGACTTGTGTTTCGCGCTCGTCTTTTTCGCCGAGCTGTTCCTCAACCTCACCTGGTCCATCGTCGCCGATATCCTGTTGGTAAGCGAGGGCCGAGGAAGAGGTCTCCGAGGTTGGGGGAGAGGTGGATTTCTCGGTGGGCTGGCGCTATGTTGATTGAATTGTTTTCTTTGTCGGAGACATAACCTTTGGCACGATTATTACACTACGCTGTTTTAATACTAATCAAACCGATGTTTTGTATGGCGCGACCATAGAACTCGTATACACTAGAGTTCCAAAATGTACTTGACACTGCTGTTTTGACGTTTTTTGTGTATAGGTCGCGTGCACGATGACCAACCCTGGAGGCAAAATATTGAAACACAACCTCATTCTTCTGTGAATTATTGAAACACAACCTCACTTCTTCACTTGGGGTCAGAGGAATCAAAGGATTGAAATAGTTTTTCACAATATTTTGGCATACGAATCGTGTTTTTTGCGCTATTCATTAATTCGAGCATGCCTTCGCATTGTGCTGTTGTACAATGCACAAAAAATGCAGCAAGATACTAAAGAATATGATTTTTCAGGTATAGTAATCTCACATAGTTATCATTATGAAATGTTGTCATTCCTTATTAAAATTCCTTCTGCCTTCTGTCACTTCTGCAATACAAGCTAATACTGCTAATAGATTGAAAATGTCTACAACACACACGATCGTCAGCATGTCAGACCAGTCCTCCCGATTGATTGCATGAATCCAATTTTCTGGCATTATTTTAGAAATTTCAGATGTATTTGTATTAGCTTCTATCGCAGAAAGAATTCCGATGAGAAATCAGAGAAATTACCAAATTTCAAAAATGAAAACTATATGTGAGTGACTATAGTAGGTACTTACTTTTAAATCATATTGTACCAACCGGATTACTTCGTCTTCCGCTGCAGTTTTTGTGCATTTCACAACAGCATAATGTGATGGCATGAGCGAATTGATGAATAGCGGAAAAATACGATTCGTATGCCAAAATAATTGTGAAAAACTATTTCAATCACTTATAAACAAATAAGTAAAGTGACGTTGTATTTCAATATTTTGCCTCCAGTGTCGGTCATCTGACAGTTCTTGCACGCAACCCATTAGAGTACAGACACTATGACAAGCACTGACAATCAGACATAACCATAAATAAATTGATGGAAAAAGCGGGAACATATAGTACACGGACGTACATGACGTAAATTTCAAAGGTTTGACAAATTGAGAGAATTAGGAGGAAGATGCAAGTTTGTGCAGTATCCGCTGAAGTCCATTTATACCCACTTCCGTATGTCTTGGAGAACCTTTATCATTCATCCTAACTGGAATCAGCTGTTATTGTTGCCATATCATTTGTTCATTTATTAATTACTGATAACCTACCACTCTCGTACAAGTGAAATTGTTCCATACGAAATAAAAGTATGTTTCATTGGTTGAAATTTATCAGTTTTTACCCCACTTTTCTGATAAAGAAATATTCAACTGTAATACATATAAGAGAATTATTTCATAGGATAGTATGTGTATTTCGTTGGTATCGACCTCCATTTAGGTCCGTCAGCTTTATCATTCAATATTTCGAGAAAAAATAATTTTCTAATCAATTTATCCCCACTCGAGGAGACGCTATGCACTCTCATACAAAAATCAAAGACACAGAAAGACATATGGATGTACTCTTCCCAGGACTTGTGGAGGAAGGAAGATGTGAGGATCCTTTATCTAAGCGAAAAACATATTTTTGTCCTTGTCTGGCAAAACATACGATTTGCTTCAAAATCGTTTGTGGTTATGTTTGATTGTCACTGCTTGTCTAGTGTCTGTCCTCTAATATACATAAAACGTCAAAACAGCAGTGTCAAGTACATTTAGGAACTCTAGTATACACTTACCTAGAAGGCGAACTCTGTGTAAAAAGTTGTTAGAAATTGGTAGTTTCATGGAGCTCGAAAAGGTTTCCCCAGTCAACTATTCAAGACACATGTTATTGGAAACGGATGTAGGTTAAAAAGAGAACGCCTTTAAAACGTATGATGGTCGTGTTTATATAAATCTACAACAATATCGAAGTGATGCCATATGTACGTCTGTTATATTGGAGTGGTTTATAGGGTTTATTTTTAATTCTTCAGGGTTGGTTGTTGATGTTAGGCGCGTGATCGTGCATATATTATTTAAAAAACCTCATCATTCATCTATTTAATATTTTATATAATATTGGCTTCTACTGGCGGCTTTGCTCGCGTTGAAGCCCTGGAATAAACATCATAGATTCAATAGAACTGTGTCAAAATTGTCAAAAACTGAAAATATGCTTGATTGAGATAATTTATTACAACAAAATTCAAAATGTACTTCACAACAACAAAAATGAGTTATTTGTTATGCCCTGTCTGTAGATGAACCAAATCAGGTAGGATTGAATGCACAGAAGACTTAAACGTCAATGTCAATTAGATAATTCGTGGTCAAGTCATTAAATAGCAAATAATCTGCAGGGTATCTTCCATGCCATAATAAATTTTGTGCCTTCCTAGTGCTCACCTGATGTTTGGTTAGATATTTGTCATTTTCATTCAATTATCTAGATAATCCGAGACTCACCAGACATGTCTGATTATTGGATATTTTGTGTGGAAGAATCATGTCGGCCATTCAAAATTTTTGTACCCCTCGTGAAAAATAAAATTGTTCAATAAAAATATCCTATGTCCTTTCTAATACATCTGAGTATATGTATACAAAATTTCATGTTGATCGATTGAGTAGTTTTGGCGTAAAAGACCGACGAACAAACTTACATTCACATTTATAATATTAGTAGGGATAGTGTTATCTAGTATAGTTTGTCCCTATATTTATATTTCATGGTTAGTGATTTATTCAAGTGTAGTATAAATAAACTTGTTTTATAATAATGAATTGCGAAAACTCTTGGAAGAATTCATAAGATGGTATAGTTTATCCAAAAACAATTGCAGTCTCGTGCCGCCACTTCAAAGGGAACTTCAAACACGCCGACGCCGCACAGTGTCGGATATTCTGCAATTGATATTGGATATACTATATAAGTTTTCATGGGTGAGTTTGTTTTCATTGAAATATCAGTACGCCTATGGTTTCACGACGTCACTGACTGGTTTCATTTTACAGTGTTGCACATCCATTTCAAAGCTACCCTGCCGCCATTTTTGAAACGCATTCTAGGTCAGTAAATATGAATTCTATGGCAGCGACACGTATTTCGCTAACTTTGTTGGCATCTTCAGGAGGAGATCGAAACTGTTTCAATCTGGTTAGTGGTGAAACAGTGTAATGTGAATTGATTTCGTTCATATATTGATAACTGGAATCTTTGGCGCATGATACTTCACTGTTTCATCACTAATTGATTTGTCAGGACTGCAATTTCTAGTGTATAACTAGAATTTTGGAATTGGATATAATCATATTGGCTAGTGGTGGAACATTGTAATGTGTTGATTGAATTTGAAACATTATAATGTGTTGATTGAATTTGAAACGTTGTAGGGGTCGGATGGTTTTGAGCAATGTTTTTCCATGAATATGTAGGTACTGTATTGAAGACCATTAGATCAATGATCTCATAACATTTCACGGTTCACCAACGGTTTTTTAACTCTTCAAAATGTATTTCGCTGATGTGCATTAACATCTTCAGGAAAATATTATTATTGAAACTGATTTCCCTTCTCTAATGTGCAAGTTGATTCAGTGGCCAATACCATAAGTTGAGAGGCATACAAACTAAGCTCAGATATGAAGAAAGTTCAAATAAATTTGGAAGGAGAAAAAATGACTCCACTGGTTTTACGGATGTTTTTTTTTATTTTCATCATTTATTTCTCATTTAAAAAATCATTCATCTTCTAGATTTATTATGTATTCAAGATAGTCCAACACTGGCTTAAATTCTGTGTTTGCAATCTTTTTACTTGATTTTAATCTAATAATGAATTTCGTGTGCATTTTCATTGGACATTATTTATTTCAGCAGCAATGATGAAATCATGAAAACATAAGTAAATCGTTCGTTCGAACGAATAAGTAAATGATTGAATTTTTCAAAAATCATCAGGTGACTGTACTGTTTTTTTCTCGAAAGGTATGCATCCTTCCAACATTTTGACAAAAATACCTTTTTTGCGGAACAAAAAGTGGAATGTGACCCTGGAATCTACGCCACTGGATGCTTTCGTGGTACTCTGAATTTCTCCAATGCCTGTTTTTCTCGAGAACTACTTATCCAGAAAAAAATCGATAGAATTGGTCCACAATGTGAAAAGATATGATGAAAAAACTGTTTCGGCCACAGATAATTAAATATATATTTTGCTATGTTTTGATGAAAGGACTATTTCAGGGAAAAATTGTTTCAAACTTTCCTTCATGATATAATACTGCCCACATGTCCTTCAATGTATTGTACTTAACCACTGATACACCTTGTATATGCTACTCAAATATAGTATCCTCTATTCTGTCAAAAATATTTGATAACAATAGCCCGGTATATTGAATATACACAATTCACAATGATTAATAGATTTCGAATTTCACTGTGGATGCTAATTTGTACAAAAAATCGATTACTTCTATAAATAACTTTCCATTATTGAATCGTAACCTTTGACTGATGAATTATGGATCATTGTGTCTAAATTTGTCCTATGAATTAGAATTATATAATCATGGAAAAAAATCATTATGCCTTTAATATTATATAGTTCGAAAACTTTGCCCTCTTGAACTTCTCTTCCATCAATATTTAATTTTTTCAGTGTGGTTATTGAATAATTTATTCAATTTTAGTAGATAGATGATTATTTGGTTTGAAATTTTATGTTGATGAAGAAATATAATGACTAAGACATTTTGCTCCAGTTCATTAGCTTCATTATTCATTCCATTCATTAATTTCGTAAATTTACAATTGAGAATGAAAAGTACATAGAAAAAATTGAGAGTTAGCATGAAGATTATCAACTGATGCAGTTGTTTAATTTCTTGCGTTTTTCGTTCATTCTGT